TAAGTCCAGGACGACTCTTTGAAGAGAGAAGTTAACTGTTTATCTTTGCACATAAGTTACCATACTGGCTGAGTTTATCCAGAATGTTCTGGTTTTAGTTAGGCTTCCAAAAGGGGTTTAATGAAGTGCTATACAATGGATTTAGGAGACTAATTAAAGACTATAGAATAAAAAGGGGTAGTGACAATGTGGATACAAAATTGGCTGAAAAATAGGAAGTAGAGAGTAATAATGTATTTTTTAGTCTGGAGGAAGATTTGTTGTGGAGTGACCAAGGATATGAATTGGAATCTCTGATTTTCCTTATATGTATTAATGATCTAGATCTTGGCATTCATGGAACAATTTCAAAGTTTTTGGTGATACAAAACCTGAAAGCATTGCAAACTATAAGGAGGACAATGTAGAAATTTAAAGGACATAGAGAAGTTGGTGGACTTGGAAGGATAGGTGACAGTTGAAGTTTAAAGTGGAGAAGTGCGTGGTGATGCATCTTGGTAAGAAAAACAGGGACAACCAATAGGAGATAATGGTTACAATTCTAAAGGGATTGAGCAGATCCACCTGGTATGTGTGTGGGCAGATTTTTGAAGGTGGCAGCACAGGCAGGGAGAGCAAGAAATTCAACAGAGTATAGAACACATTTATAAGTATGGTTCCATGAGGATCTTCACTTATGAGGATAGATTGGAGACTTTAGGACTGTTCTCCTTGGATGGAAGAAAGCTAAGTGAGGATTGATAGTAATTTTAAAGTTATGGATGGGCTGAATGCAGTAGATAGGGAGACATTTTTCCTGCTTATAAAAGAATCTAGAAGGAGAGAGCAAAGAAGCAAATGTGACGTGAGAAAGATAATATTTTCGCACAATGATTGGGTCTGGAATGCACTACCTGGAAGCATGGTGGAGGCATTCAAGAGAGCATTAGATGATTATTTAAATAGAAAGATTGTGGGATGTGGGAAAAGGCACTAAGTCATGATGCTCGTTTGGAGAGTCTGTGCAGACCGGATAAGCTGAATGGCCTCCTTCTATGTTGTAACACTTCTGTAATTCTGTAATAGATGTTGTCTATTGTGCTTAGTATTTCCAATTTCCTATTTTTATTTGAAAACTTAAAAGATCTCTTTTTCATGTACTGCAGTGGAAGGTAAGTTTGATGCTATAGCAGACTCTTGTGTTTAAGTCTCACTAATCAAACCAGAAGTTAAAGAGGCAGCAAGAGGCACACACTGTGTAATTGTAAAGACAGGTGTGCTTAACTGCACAAAGTGGGATTAGATACTTCCGACAAAAGTGCTTGCAGCTCTTTATTTCATCATTTAGTTATCAGAATAGAGAATGTACCTTTCCATAATGTTAAGCATTGCCTGTGCACTGTATTTAGTTCTTTACTTGCATATATACAGAACATGTTTGGACGTGCACCGGGGAAGAAAAAAGGTACCTAGGTATCATGACAATATATTTACATTAAAAGCAGATGTGCATCAGGTATCTGTCTGTCTGCTTTCCTGTTCCTTCCTATTTCATTAAGCAGAGGTGGAGTGAAGGTGCTGTTGATGGAAAAGGAAGACACAGAAAGCAAAAAAAATTATAATAATTAAAACAAATATAATGGCAAAAACAGGAAGATGCATTATGAGCAAAGAAATAAAAAACATTTCTGGGGATCACGCTATTCTTCTTTGATGCTGGGGGCTGAAAGTTTTCATTCCAATCCATTTGGGAATCCCAAAAGCCTCAGGTGTATTTTAAAACCGGACTTGAGCTTGGTCATTCTAGAACTTCCACTTTGTTTCCTTACAGTTGCTATCTAACTTTGCTTTGATTTGTGTACAGAGACTTTAAAAAAAGCTTCAGCTTGTCCCCTACAACGAAATCCAATGAGTGAAACTTAACGCCAATGCACTTTGAAGCAGATGGTCTGCTTGTATTTCTGTTGGGTATTAACAGTTGAATTGGTAAAGTAATACAAAACACCCTTTGTTTGTTGTATAAGGAAGGAAAATACAACCCAGAGAAAATCTGTAACACCTACCTCTCCAATTGTCCCCTGGGCCTGGACAGTACTATCTGAATGATATTGCTATCATTATATGATACAGAATTTAAATAAACTATTGTTTTTTATTTGTCTATATATTCCGCTAAAGAAAGAAAGAGAGGGAAATGAAACCTTTCAGCTTTATCCACAGTGCAGTGAACTGAAATGAATCCAGGTTTTTGGTCAGTTATTCAATTGTAATGGATTTAGGTCACGAATTTAACATTAAATATGAGTCAAATTTTGTAACCACGTAGGAAAATTGAGAAGATCAAGTGAGTTAGTGACTTTGGGGAGGAATTAATATAATCAACCTAAAAGGAAAAAGTTATTTATTTCCCTATGAGATCCCTTTACTCTGTTCAATATGAAGTGCTGATGGAGGATTACACCTGAAATGTTGATCTGTGCTTTCTGTTCACATGAGCATACTGACCTGCCTGGCATGACCAGAATTTTTTTCACATTACTGTTCTTGTTTTACATTTTTTTTTCTTCTTTAATCTCTAATATCTTCTAATTGATAACAAAATAATTTTGTATACCAACATCACTTCCACAAAATGATGAACAAAATACTCCATTGTTTCACTTTATCATAAGTATGCACTTTTTCTGCTAAATGATCCTTCAACAACATTCTTGTTTGCTCTCCTTTTCCATTTAGTTTATTTACAGATTGTAAATTCTCTTCATTTCTCCATGATACTCTCTTTCTCTTCTTTGCTGTGGATTTAATATTTATTTTGCATTTTTCCCCTCTATTATTCAGTTTGGTTATATTTTATTCTTGTAATATCCCTTTTATTTTCCCTTCAAACTTTAATTTATTTTTATCTCCTTAATTCTGCTGTTATAAATTATGTCATTCTTCATAAACATGGTGTCTTTGTTATATATCTTTTGTTTGATATATTTCCCCTTATTTCAATTCTTTGTTTTTAACCCCAACAACAATCAAGAAACTCAATACCATCAAGACAAAGCAGCCTATTTCACTCTCTTAGCTATTGGTTCATAGTGCCAAAAGTGCATTCCATCTACAAAATGCACCGCAGTAAGTTGCCTAGGTTCCTTCAGTGGCACTTTCCAAACCCATGACCTCTATCAGCTAGAACAACAAGACAACATATGCATGGGGATATGCATTACCTGTAAGTTCTCTTCCTAGTCAATCACCATCTTGACTTGCAATCATATCATCGTTCTCTCACTCTGGCCAGTGAAAAATCTGAAACTCCCTTTCAGCACTGTGATGTGACTACACCAGAAAGACTGCACTGGTTGAAGAAGGTCATTCACAATCACAATCTTCTCTAAGTCAATTAGGAATGGGCAATAAATATTGGCCTTTCGAGTGATGCCCATTTCCCAAAGTACAAATAAAAAGAAAGTCATAGCATAGAAAATACACACACTTTTTCACAGCTACAGTCTGTGTTGCAGCTGAGGATGGCTTGCAGTAGAACTTTGGTCCCAACTGCAATTGTACTTTGCCACTTCCAGTCTCTGAAATTGAAAAATTAAATTTTCACTTGTTTCAAGTAGTTATTATCAATGAATTCTCGGCAGAATCAGCCAAACCAGTTCAAAAATTTGGTGAATTGTAAAGATAAATGAATTGCACCAAAAGTAAACTTGTCTTCATGTTCTTTTGCAAAATTTTGCACTGGTTCAAGATTCAATTTGCCTTTATAGACCCACCTGCAATATTGGCCTCACCTCACCTAATTAGAATTGCAAGATTCCACCAGTTCCAGTGGTTAAGGAGAGCTGTTCAAATAAGACTTATTTTCGTATATGTATGGGCACTTATAGGGATGTTTTAAAAGTATATTCATATCAAAACAAATTTACTAAGAAACACCAATTAAAGTATTAAATGGTTCAGTACAGTTTTGTGAAACATTTTTCAGTAATTTTAAATCAGATTACTCACAGATGGTGAAGGGTCGGTTTTATTAAATATATTTATATAGGATCATCAACCAATTTTCAAGTGTATTACTGCAATTGCACTAAGCTAGCATTCTTAAATACCTCAAGGAACTCTTAAAGTGAAAAAAAAATAAACAATCATATTCTGTTGCATTCTGACAGAAAAATTGATTCATGGAAGATTTTATGTGTGATTATGCAAATATATTGTAGCAGAAATTAAAATGCAACCTGAGCCTTGGAGCAAATGCAACATAAGTTTACCAAATGATAACTAGACTCAATGTGTTATGAGCAGAGACTGAGCAAATGAGGATTGTATGCCCCAGTACTGAGAAGGTTAATGGGTAATTTGAAGTTTTCAAGATATTATGGAGAACAGATGAGGTACAGAGGGGGAAAAACAATTAATGTTGCTTTGGCTGTTGGACTAGGGAACATTGTTTTAAAAGGACAACCAGGCCTTTCAGGAGCAAATTTTTTTTAAAAATCATGTAAACACTGCAGTTTGAAACTTTCTCCACACATGGCAATGGTGCCAGAACAGTTATTAATTTTAAATCAGAAATTGACAGGTTTTTTTTGGCAAGTTGACCAAAGATATGGAGGAATATGAGGGAAAGGAATTAGGTCTCAAGTGAGACATTACCTTATTGAATGCCAGATCAAACGTGGGTGTCTATGTTTTAATCTTCACAACCAGCACAACTTCAAACATAACTTCCTCCGATGTCTAGGGTCGGGGCCCTTCTTCAGAATTTCTGAAGAAGAGTCCCGACTCGAAACGTCAGCTTTCCTGCTCCTCTGATACTGCCTGGTCTGGTGTGTTCATTCAGCTCCACACTGTGTTATCTCTGACTCCAGCATCGGCAATTCGTACTATCTCTTCCTCCAATGTCTGCCTTGCAGTCAAAGCCACACTCTAAGATAGCACAATCGAAAACTAAGGTGCTCCTGCAGCCACCATGGCTTTTACATCCTTAAGTTCTGGTGATTTAATTCTCCCGAAGTTACCTTGTCAATGTTGACTGATGGAGGCATCCATCCACTGTGGTAACTGAACCATGTGACCGTCCAATACTCCCCCTTAACGCCGAAGAAATTTTAGAAAAAGAAATAAAATTGAACTCGTTTAGCAGAAGCCTGTCAAAGTTCCTTACGTTCTTTTTAGCAAAGATACTTAACAGTTTGCAGCAAATTATATTTCAGAAGCATATGATTTGTGGGTTTATGCCAACGCCCTCCGCTTTACCAGTCTTGGCATTTGCCAGCTGTCAATAGCTACTAACCACACTGCTCGCTCCTGGCTGCTCCTCGCAACAAGAAAGAGAATTGGTCACACACATAAAAAAAACAATGACGGAGGCTCGAAAGAATGTTTTCACCAGGTACACTTTTTACTAGCTACTTCCTATACAATGGGAAAACAATTTATTCTGAGCCGCATGAAATGGAAGAGGGAAGGGAAACGCGTTCTGACCGCTTACTGAAGGAGTGTAAAACCTGAAACTAGATCTAAGCTAAGAGGGGAATAGGGAAAAGCATTAGAAAGCTACTGGGATTTTAGGGCTGTGAAATAAATTAGCAAAGCGCCTTGCGTCTACTTTTGATAAAAGGCCTGTCACAGAATATAAATTTGTGTGTGGTTTTGGTCACTTTTGGAAACCCGTGTACTGTATAATTAAACAGGCGCCAACGCCACTTAGATTGTGAATCGCTGTTTTGAGTTTCATTGTTTCAAACCTTCCGTAGAATTGTTATTGCATTTGGGAGCGAAACGAAGTTTTGAGTCTATTTGAATTCAGATTCCTCGTGATAAGGCTTCCTCAAAGCAGAAGCTTTGATATTCCCCAGTGCAGATTACCTTTCTGATCAATTCGGCTGTTTTAAAGTCCAGCTTGAACACCCAGAATGAAGTTATTAGCTGATACAAATTGCACTGTTTCCAAGGGTTTACATGGGACCTGAAGGAGGAAACTGGACAATTTTCTTGTCGTCAGGTCCTTTTAATGTTTAATTGGTCCTATCTTTACATTTTGGCGCCTCTCATCATGTCATACACCAATTGAATTGTACGCTTGAAGTGCATTCACTCGGATAGGTTAATATTTAATTTCTGTGGATTTTTGTTTTCCCAGTACGGCTGTGAATCTGTGTACCTCGCAAAGAAATCTACAGCCTTGTGTCTCAAACTTCTTTGAACCTACCTAAGAAAAGACAAGAACAATTGAAACAGCTAATTTTCCAAAATTGCAATAAAATGTGCGGTTGAAATATCCCAGTCAGTGCACACTCATTAACAAGGTGTATGCGATTAGTCACTTCAGTGATTGTAAGCGATCTGAATGATGAGATGAAAACTTTTTTTTTCTTTCTTTGGCTGAATAAACGTGGAGAAATTCAGTATTTGGGAGGTAACTTCGAATTAAATTTGATTAACCAACCCAGTAAATCTTTGCGTGCTGCAAGCTCCTCCCACAGCGACCAGCCGTCCAATTTCAACCCTCGGCGCCAGCCAATAAGGGATTTGTGTATTTACCCTGAACTACAATAGGTAGATGCGGTGGTAGCGAGAGCAGAGCAAAGTTTGCAGAGATCTGCATCCACACACGTGTGCTGCTTCAAGTGTCATTCGCACAGAGCCACCAAACGCTCCCTTTCATCTCACAGGAGAATGCTCTTGCCCTGCTTAGTGCTGGCCCTAGCTGCCTTTGGCTATGTTCCCTCCAGCCAAGCGCCAATGATTCCTTCTTGCCCAGCTCGGTGCCACTGTGAAGAGGATGGCATTCTGCTGTGGGTCGATTGCTCAGAGCTCGGGTTTACAGCATTGCCGGAAGACTTGAGCCCGTTGACGTCCTACCTGTAAGTGCCTGTAATCTTTCAGATAAACGTGCTATGGTACAAAACATGAATTCATTAAGTTAAAGGTGCATCGTTTCCTCTCTCATGTACTCTGAAGGAAAATGTAATAGAACCAAGAACTTTCGGTGGGATGTCAGCAGTTAGGCGAAGATGCTGTCGTTTTAGTTACAAGCCCCATCCCCTCAGCCCCACATTGTTGCTTGTAACGAGCTGCAAGTCAGAGACAGGGCGACTGCGTTATTTCGTTCATGTGACAAGAGGGAAGTGATGAACATTGATGCTGGCTATAGATGCACTGTCAGAAACAGCGGGGAGAGCAGATTCTGACGTGGGATCGACACGTGTAAAAGGTGGGGGTACTCTTTCAAAGTGCTGGTACCGACACGATAGACCGAGTGGCCTCTTGTTGTGCCGCGTGGTTCTGTGACACGTCCCGCGACCCTACCGGATAGACAGTGTACTGGAAATAGTAGATGGTCAAGTCAGTGTTCCAAGTTTGTTTCTTATTAGAGTGAGATCAAAGCAATTGCAACAGTGATATTAGCTAACGAATAAGTTTGATACTCTTCCCATATAGTCTACGGAAATTCTTGGTGTGTGTATATGTATATGGACTGCATGTGTTCAATGGGATGAATATTATATATTTCTAATTCACAATTGAGACTGTTTATTTGATTAACGCTATTTATGACTTGGTCAATAATAACGATGGAGTAAGATAGGTTAAAAAGATATCATATCAATGATGATTAGCTAGAACCGAGTGGACAAAAAGTTACTGATTGAACACAAACTCCTCAATAACTGTGGCTCGCAGCTTTCGGAACGCACTCTCTCGAATGAAAGACGATCTGGTTTAACCCGTAGTCCGCTGCGATTATATCAGAGAGCCACTGTAACGGTGGAACAAAATAACATCGCAGTTCCTTTGCTGTTACGGTGCAGTAAAACTGTACCTTACTTGTTTTACTATCACGAGGGCAAATGATTGTCCGGTGCCAAAAATAGTTTCTATAAGAAAGTAATTACTCGCTTCCGTCGGTTGGTTAAAAGGGACAGGAGAATAATTTCCGCCCTGTGCTTAGAATTTTAAATAGCTGTAACTTTATATGAAAGACAAACAGGCTGCAACAACATACTGACATGCTCAGAAATAGACGGGCACATCAAAAAGCTTTTATAAATTGCCTTTAATGCTGCACCTGCCAGGAATATTAATCCGGCTCTTTGCATTACTTACGAGTAGTGCTCTAAATCCCCCTAAAAAAAAGACTGAGAACCACAACGTTACATCAGAGCGATCCTTCCAGTGCATTGTGTGGCGCCCGGGCCACTGTAATTGTTTCCGTTAATATGTAAATCATGAAGATGATTTTTTGTACAATGAACGTTTTCGCAAACTTAGCACGCAACGATTACAAATGAACTTCCAGCGTCCGCAATATGTCTGAGCTGAACAAATTTGCAACTCCTCGCATTCGAAAGGTTTTTAACTTCACACTCAATTCAGTTGTACAACGAGCCATACACCTACTCAGGGGCTCGATCTCAGCCTGAGACTTGCTTCCGAACAGCTTCAGATGTAAGTGTTGGACACTCCGGAGAGGGGTGGTGCAGGCGTTAGAAAGTTGCAACGGGCAAATGCCTCCTTCCAGATAATGTTTTGGACGCACATCACCCCTAACTCTGCTGATCGTCCTAAAGCAGGTTGATTATAGATTTAAAACAGACGGGATGAACTAAAGTGAGTAAACGGCAACGTCAAACTATAGAATCTTGGTGGGTTTTGTGTTTTGATCCAATATTCTGAATGCAAACCCATTTCTGAAGCTGTATATTACCGCACAGTAAACTGAAAATATAAATGGAAAACCTATAGTAAAAACTGAACATTAAGTTCTCAAATATAGTAATCATACAGATGTGTAATTTCTGAACAGTTACGAGAGAACCATAAAATATGGTTTACATTCTCTGTAAATATACCGAAAATGACCTACCGTTCTGTAACTTTCTCATTAATTTTTTTTTACACGGCGATTTTGGCGTGTTCACACTGATTAGTGTGCTGAACAAACATTTACAGTCTCTCTTTTTACACCAAAGGAATAAATCAGCCGGGGGCCCTCAAAAGGCTATATATTTGGCTCGGATGATGAGCGTAGATATTTGGCTGTCACTTACACTTGGGAACTTCCTTTGAAATCACTGGAAATGTACAGGCGTCAGGGAAATTATCTTTGGTACCACACGCACATCAATCAGTGATGGCTGTAGCTTCAGGCGTTGGTGCAGTCGAGCTCACCTGTGTGGACTTTTACAATCCGTGTCTACGATTTGAGTTCGTAAACGTTATTTAGTGTAAAAAGCCACAATCTCTTGTGCTTTGCAAGTATTTTGATAACCTTGATTTTCAATATAATTCTTCAAATGTAAGCCATTGATAGAACTAATTTGTTTCAACGTGTACTTTTTCAAAGTGTTAAATAGCTCACTTTGTACCAAAGTGTTTTTGAAAAGGCAAAGGTTTGGAAAACTATTGAACAGTATTGTGAAGGGTGTTTTTCAGGTATCTTGTAATTAGATATTTGGTTTCTAAGAACTGTATTAACAAGCTCCCACTACACAGCTTGAATAGATATAATAGGTGCTGATGTATACATTATCACAGGTGTGTCTCAATGCATTAAAACTGTTCCTTTGAACTAAGCTATCCTTTATAAGCATGTTTTAATTAACATGCATATAATCAATGCACAAAAATGGTCAAATAAGACGGTCCAGCAATAACACATTCAGGACAAATGTCATAAATGTGTTTTTAACAACTCGAAAATGTTTTCTCCAGGAATATGCCTTGACATGATATTATACAATATATATTATGTACAATTTGTATTGATGCAAAATAGTCTGGTGCAAATCGTGCGGTGCACTTTGAAGACCAAATTGTCTTGATCTGATTTGCAAAAGGGGGAATGCAGTCTCCCACTACTCATTTTCACACCTGCTGCAGTGGGAATACAGCCAAAATAAAACAATCATTTAAACATTATTGAATTGTTATAAAAACTTTTGTGATAAGGATTGTCAAGACAATCTTCCTTTTCTAGCAATACAATTGAGTTGGAAATCAATTGATTTTCCAGAGGCCCCTTCTCATCCTTTAGATAATAAGTTGCAAAGAAAACGTTGCAATTGCTCACATAAGTTATCCGCCTCATATCACTCTCAATAGATGACAATGCCAATAGTTACACCGAATATAATCACACAGAAGATATTTGGCATTTACCGAACATGTCTGTTGAACTGTCTAAGAATTTATGATGCAATTTTCTTTGCAATTCAGCCCTTTTTGATTATTCAAATTTTATGCATTGCTTAAATGTTCATCTCACTTACATTCCTTGCATTATATCTGTAAGGTAGTAGATAGTTCCAAGTGGTAAAATATATTTGAGATAATGAATCATGTTTGATAAATGTTTGGATTAGCTGTAAATTTAATATAGGAATATGGTTTGGCTCAGCATCAGAACCTTCTTTCATTATTGTGAATGCAACTAAAAACATGCTTGGAAAAATACACGCTAAACAAAAAGTAACATAATTTCTGTAATGAGCTCAAAGGTGTGCCTTTATTTAGGTGCTGGCAATCCATTATCAAGTTTAGCACATCAACATGTGCTTACCATATACTGATGTGTTAATAACCTGTAATAAATATGCACCATATCATTCACAATCTAAGCCATCCCTTACACTGCCAAGTTTGCACTGGAATAAAGCAGGTACAGAGAATGTTCTCAGAAAAAAACAACTTGGCAATGTAAACTTTACAGTCTGGTATTGTATATGAATTTTCATCTCTTCAGCTGTGAACTCAATCTACCTCATATATCCTAAGGCAATAAGGGAGATTGGTGTGCTTGTTTGATGTCCCCACACAGGCATCCTTATGCTGCAGCTGTTTAACTTGATTTAGAGGGTTCAAGGTCCATACTAGTGTAATTTCTTGAAAATAGTGTAAGAGCAGGTTGGAGCATTACATTGAAGCAGCATCATGGTCAGCTTTGACATTGAGTGCTGCCATTGCTAAGGTGAAGAAATTGAAGAGAGAATCATTTCTAGGCTGCTGTGTGCCTCTTTGAGTAGTCCATTGAAGTGCACATCAACTAATAGGTGGTCCACCTTCTCATGTGGATATGGCTGACAATAAGATATGCAAGGTGAAGTTCCACACAATGAAAAATATAGAAATAAACATAGATATATCCACACATTAACCAGCTCTATCAGCCAAGTCCTGTTTCATGACCAATTTTTCATTTAATTTAACCCAAACTTAAATGCTTCAGGTCTTTGCTGAATCATAATTTGATCCAATACTTGCTGAATGGTTTAACAGAATTGGTGTTTAATGCACTAGGTGGCAGTCTGTTCCTTATAAAGGTTCTTTATAATAATAAATTGCTTATTCTAATTACATTTTCTGATTCTCCTGTTTACTTTTGCACAAGATATATCTTTATGTCTAATGTATGGATTTGTTGCATTTATTTAATAGTTTTGCTTTTGAAGCATAATTAAGAATGTGTCCTGTGTGTTTTTTTAAACAATTATAATATTTAAGCTCCTTAGCAATTCTATGCTCAGTGTTTTAAACTCATGCTGTCCTTGCATACGTTTATATTTTGATAAAGTTGAATAGACAGTATGTTTCATGTGTGGTCTCCCATAGATAATTATATAGTGTTAACATTACTTCCTTCCAATTACTGTTCCATGATTTTACTCGTACACATCAATATTTTTATTGTCTTGCACAATCTAGGTATAATTTATGTTATGGCAGCAGTTTCATTTTTTCATAATTACTAAACCCTGCATAGATTTATCAACACCTGCCATAGATCCTTAGATCCTTAATTAAACAGGCATATTTATTCTTCCAAAGTCACTCTTAATTTTTAAAATTGATCATCATTTGCCTG